TGCGCCACCGGGCCGGCCAGGAAAGATATTGTTGTTTAAAGCCCCCCACTGCCTTCTAAGGAAGAGAAGTCTTGACTACTGAAGGGGATCTTCGTTTACTGCGTGAGTTCCAGTTGAGGATATATGAGTTTGAAGAAGCTGGAAAGATTGAGAGACCCTGGAGCAAGTCCCTGGCAGGGGGAGAGGGCCTGGATGCTGAGAGATCTGGAAGGAGAGACAAGTCCAGTGGAATTTTGTTTTGTTTTTTAAAGTGTGATGCCCTTTGAGTGCAATGTGACGTCCCTTTTCCATCTCCCTTCTAAAGGCTTTAATGCATTATGCACTGATCTCCAATGCTCACTTGGGAAGAATTTTGTTGTCATGAAGTGGGATAGGAAATTCCAAAGTGAGGCTTCAAACCAAAATGGGGATTTTCAAAGGAAAAGACCATGAGCTGGTTAGAGACTCTAAAATCCACAAGGAAGAGATCTAGGATCAAGAGAGCAGAGATGAGAGGCTGTTGTGGGAAGGGTTTTTAGAGAAAGCCTTTGGAGAGCTGGTCATTCAGGGCCCCCTTCCCCTGCCAAGCAGAGGGAGAGGGACTTCACAGGATGCTGGGAGCTCGCTGTGCGGCCTATGACTGAGCAGATACACCTGGGAAGTCTGGAGGGCAGGGGTCGGGCTGACACGTGCTTTGTAGGTATAGACAGGAGGTTCCCTGCTGCATAGCATTGTTCCACAGCTCAGAGACCACCAGGTCTAAGGATGTGAATGAAGCCCAGGTCTACCTTGGCTTGCACCCTAGAAGGGCAATGGAACTCCAACAGGGGGAGGCTACGGGCCATGGGCTGCCTAAGGAGGTGCTGCCAGAGGGACCCAAGGGGAGCCCTTTCATCCCAAACACCCTGGAAGGCGGAGTGAGAGACAAAGTAAAGATGATTTCTGATAAGATCTCATGGGCCCTGCTCTTTTGATGTACCAGTTACACACACACATATGCACACAAATATATATGATTTCTTTTAACACAAAAAAATACCATATCATATCATTATACTGTCCTGGAACTTGGTTTTTCACTTAATAAGTCACCAATCTCTTCCCAGATCAGTTTTCTGGATCTACCTTATGAGTTATAACCACTTCACAGGTGTTTTTAACCATTGCTCTATTGATGGGCACTTAAGCCATCCTGTTTTCCACTGCTGTACACGCTGCTGAGAGAAACATCCTTGGACCCACCTCTGTGGGCACTGATGCCAAACAGTGGCCTTGTCCTCTGGGGCTTTGCAACAAAGCCTTTCTAGATTTGGGAGAACTCTGAAGTGTGGCTCAATGGTGATGTTTCAGGGAGATGAATTCCTAGAGGTGGAATTGCTTAGCATGATAAAGATACCCGGTTCTAGAATGGATTTTATGGTTATAAAGTGATGTTATAGGCTAGAATCCTCACCACCCCCTGAAAGGTTGATAGCACCAGGTGCCCATTTTACAGATAGGGAGGAGTCTGGGATCCTGCCATCAGTGGGACAGGGGGTCCAGACTCTAACTCCAAGGCCACAGGAAGAGAACAGGAGCAGATGGTCACTGGACAAGGAAAGAAGGGGCCACTTGAAGTTAATGGTGGATCTTAGGTTTATTGCTTGCGGCTACAAGCGGACCTCTAGTCTTTGAGTAAATGGGAGTTAGAAGTCAACCTGGAGACACTCTGTCTCCATTCAGGGGAGAAGGCTACACTCCAGTCCCAGCCGTGGAGCAGACAGGGCACCAACTGTGACCGTGGCTCTGTCTTCTCTGGGAATGTGGCTCCCAGGGGATGGACCGGCAGCTCCCTCTCAGCCCTGTCTCCTGGGTCAGGCACTTAGGATACTCTCCCTGCCACGAGTGCCTGTCCTGCTCTCTGTGGCAAGAAATGTCTTCCGCTCCCTTCCTGGACCTCTGGTGCTGGACAGGCAGGGGCCAGGCCAGGCCAGCTTGCAAGATGGACAACCCTGTGCCATGACGGAGCTCCCTGGAGTAGGCCTGGGGACCTGCCCTCCCTTCGCAGACCCCATCTCTTGGAGGTGTGGACAGCTGTGTCCAGATCTCACCAGCCAGCAAGGAGTGGTCCAAAGCACACAGGTCACTTGGTTGGGGGTGGGGGGGGCAGCACAGAAAGCTGAATCCACTCTATGCATGTGCTGTGCTCGACCCCCTTAGTGTTGTAAAAAAATCAAATTAGTGGCCACACAGAAAAACCACAAGGTGTTGCATAAAAATCTGAGTTTCTCTAAAAATCATGAACCTTGCAACATCGGCCCTGCAATCTCTGCCTGGCACAGTCTGCTGGAGCCGCATAGCGGCTGCGCCCTTTAGCCAGCTGTGTGATCTCCAGTTTGCTGCAGACCCCACCACTCCCTGCTGCCTATCACTTGGCCTGCTTCACTCCCTTATGCTACCTGTCTGGTCCCACAGGCACCTATGTCTGCCATCCTTGATATAAAGTTGGGTAGGTCTGGGTTTGAAGCCCAACTCTGCTAAGCTTTCTGACTCTGAGCAACGCCTTAACCTCTCTGAGCCTCAGTTTCTGCTTCTGTGCTATAAGGATTTGACAAGATGGGTGTGAATTGTGTTGCACAAAGTGACAACTGTACTGCGATGCTCTTCCCGGCTCGATGGCCGAGACCCTTGTCTCTCTCCTATCTCCTTAGGTGTCCCGTATCATTCTGGCAGCTCTAGAAACCCCATCTCTTCCAGAAAGTCTCCCTGCAGTAACCTGGGGGAGGGGGCTCCTAGCCTGCTAGCCAGGAGGGAGGGATGGAAAGCTGACTCGGCTGCCCGCAGCTGATAAAAGGCTCTGAGTTGGAGGGGGATGGGACACACATCAAATGGCAGAACCGATGCTGGAAAAGCTGGAGCCTCAGAGGGGGTAGGGAGCTGGGAGGCCAGCTGGAGCTGCTAAAATTATGGCGAGAGCCCTGGAGAGTGGCTCCCTGCTTTCAAAGGCTTGTTAGACTGTTAGAGACAAGAGGCGTAATGAAGGCTTCTCTGTGGCAGGCTCAGCTGCCGGCTGGGTCGACCAGGCAGGGCGGCCACGGCAGCACCAGTCCGGCCAGGCAGCAAAAGGCTTCAGAGCAAGGCAATTTCGTCTCTCCCATCCTTCCCTTTGGTCTCTCTCTGTGTGGGAGGAGGGAGCGGGGGATGGGGGTGGCGGTGGGGAGCTTTCAAGGAAGGCTCAGGAGAAAAAAAGCCCGAAACACCAAGTCCTTGGATCTCAAATTGCCTCTCCAGAGAAGTCTCTCTTTGCACTTTGTTAGGATTTAGAGAAAAAAGGAACCGGGGCAGGGGCTGGGACTAGAGCCTGGAGGGAGGGGGCGGAGGGCCAGCTGGGAGGGGGTTGGGGGAGCTGGGCCAAGCAGCCACCAACTTGGGGCAGACCATTGGCCAGAGGTGTGGGTAGCAGATAAGACACCTCATGGTCCAAGTTCAAATGGCGGATGTGTCACTTATTGCTTGTATGACCTTGGCAAGTATTGAGCCTTTCTGAGTCTCGGGTGTCTCTTCTAATGAGCTAAACCTGTCCCCTAGCGACCTCCTCCTCCTACCTGTCAGCAAGCATGCATTATGCCTATTTCATGTGAACAACCAAATGTGCAAACATGTGGTCAGCATGTATCCCAGACAGGTAGGTATGTGTGTGTGTGCCAGGCTTCTGCATGTGGGTGTGTGTGAGTTCTCGGGGCATTGCTCCCCCTGCTGTTGTGGACTAGATAGACACGGCCTGTTTTCCAAGCTTGAAGCCACCTGCTGGGCCGCCCAATGCACACAGATCTGCTGTGACAAGTGCCTGGCGCAGGGGGTGCAGCTTTGGGTCACGACTTAACCTCTCCATGCCTGCTAATGGGACCTGGGGTGCAACTGCTGCATCTCAGAGTCATCGACACTGACCAGGTGAGGACCAGGTGATTCAAGTCCGGGGACACATGGAATGTTCCCTGAAGAACAGAAGGGATATGAACCACAGGGAGGGGAGCAGAGCAGGCACTACAGTGGCCTGAGCCTTGTCCCAAGGGCTGAGCATGTGGAGACTGGTCTGGCTCACTAAACTTTCAACCTTGGACTGAGCTCTGGCCAAGGCATTGCCTTACCTGGCAATGACGAAGAGGACACAGCTGACGCCCAGGTAGGCGAGGAGCACATACATCCAGATGTCTGGGGACAGGGGATTGAGGAAGGAGAAAACACTGGGGTTGGTGCCATTGGGCTTGCGGTACAGGATGCTCACACCGAGTGTCATGAAGGGCTTGGAGAAGTCAATGGCCTTCTCACGGACGTGGGTGATGGTCAGGGGGGCCACAGCCAGATCTGCCTTCTGCAATGAGAAAGAGAGAGAGAGACAGACAGACTGTGAGCAAAGCCTAAGACCAGCAGGGGACAGATGCCTTTTCTTGGGGGATGGGAGATGAGGAAGTGAGGCAGAGTCAGTTAGTTGCCTGAGACCTGATCAGTTAACCACTAAGCTTCAACATTTACCAGCCCTCCTGGGCCAGGCCATGCCCAGGGTGCTGGGGAGACAATGATGTTCTTGGGGGATGGGAGATGAGGAAGTGAGGCAGAGTCAGTTAGTTGCCTGAGACCTGATCACTTAACCACTAAGCTTCAACATTTACCAGACCTCCTGGGCCAGGCCATGCCCAGGGTGCTGGCGAGACAATGATCGGTGCTGGGGAGACAATGATGAATTAGACTTAGACAAGATCTCATGACCTTGAAGAAGAGGACAGTGGTATAAACATGCACAGAATGGAACCCTATTAAAGCTGTCACCCATGTGGTCCCTTCTCAAAGTGGTGCATTGCTAAAAATATAGTTCAGAAACCAACAAACATTTAAAAATAGCTCATGTTCTTTATTTGTGTCTTTCATACACCATGAAGAGGACCTAGAATCCACAATAATCCTTATTTAAATCTGCTTTTCTCTCCCATCCACTTATTGACTGCTTTACCCCATTCCAGACATTCTATATATCCTAAAAGCACCCCCCAAAACTAGTTGGGCAAGGCGACACCATCCTTGGAGAGGAAGGGTGGCCAAGGAACTAAACAGGCAAATCCAGGGCTCTTGTTAGGGGGGAGTGGTGCATAGGGGGAAGGATGGGGGTGGGGTAATGCTAGAAATGCTCATGCCTTAATACATTGTAGCCCATCACAGCTTTAACGAAGGGAATAATTAATGTTCTGTTTCTTTGGTTTGAGCCTTTCCTGATTAAGAATCCAAACTCCTTCACTCCCATCCCATCTTTCCAGCCTTACCCCACTGCTGTCCTCCTTCATGAGGTCCCATTAAATTGTGTCCTGTCTACCATATTCCCTTCTCCATCTGCATGCTTTGCATACCCTAGGCCCTTTTTAGAATGCTCTCCCTGTCGTGTGATTCTACCACCGTCCGTATTCCTTTGAACATGCTACTTCTTCCAGAAACCCTCCCTGACACCCTCCAATTCTAAATTCCAGTGCAGCTTGCTCTGTCCCTCAATGAGGCCCTAGCCTGCTCAGTTTCAATGACAGTCTGTGCTGCCATGGGACCTTGTGTCTTCTCTGCTTATCTGCCTGTGAGTTCCTGAGTGCAGCTAGGTCTGTGGCCGATTTGCTGCTTCTTTTTCCCATTCTCAAAACATATCTCAGCCTCTGGAATATTTGTTAATTAATAATATTCCCCATTTGAGAGGCTGCCTCTTGGGCTCCTGTGGTTATTTACACCTCAGAGTGAGCCAAGTTATCACATCCTTTCCTCAGGTGGGGCCAGGAGA